ATGACCGCGCCATCCATCTTATAACGGTTTATCGCAGTCTGTGTCTTGTACCACTCACACGATGCGGCAGTAGCGCGTAGCTCCGTGACTTATTTTTTTTTTTTTAACCCTACAGATTTTCAACTTGCAGACACATTTACATTCTGTTTTTCACACTGTCATTTGTTCATTCTGTCGCTTCCACTCTCTCCCGCGCCTTGCTTCCCCCTGAGCGTGTCTCTCGCCAGCAGAAATCCCCCAGCCCCTAACCTCTCTTATCTCCCCAATCGACTCAATATTCATACGCCTCATCACGCGGGAATCCCTGAAGATCCTGCACGAGCCAGAAGGACAATAAAATATCATGGCTGGTTACAAACGATAAAGAACAGATTACCAGAGGATTTCAATCATAAACACACAGTACACTCTTCATTTTCCCCCTCTCTTGTCGGTTTCCCTCCCGCTCGCGAGTGCCTACTTTTAAATTACACATTCATTTATTCATAGTATTTACCGCCGGTACGGTACATTTACAGCAAAAGTACTGTCTCACTGGGTCTTCCTATTGTGTAGCATCAACATGTCTCGTTGAGTCTTCCTATTGTGTAGCATCTCCATGTCTCGTTTAGTCTTTCTCTTGTGTAGCATCTCTGTGTCTTGTTGCGTCTTTCTCTTGTTGCATCTCCATGTCTTGTTGAGTCTTTATCTTGTTTCACCTCCATGTCTTGTTGAGTCTTTATCTTGTTGCATCTCCATGTCTTGTTGTGTCTTTATCTTGTTGCATCTCCATGTCTTGTTGAGTCTTTATCTTGTTGCATCTCCATGTCTTGTTGTGTCTTTCTCTTGTTGCATCTCCATGTCTTATTGAGTCTTTATCTTGTTGCATCTCCATGTCTTGTTGTGTCTTTATCTTGTTGCATCTCCATGTCAGTAAATACAGTCAATAAAGACAGACAGTAACTACAGACAATAAAAACAGACAGTAACTACAGTCAATAAAGACAGACAGTAAATACAGACAATAAAGACAGACAGTAAATACAGAGAATAAAGACAGACAGTAAATACAGACAATAAAGACATACAGTAAATACAGTCAATAAAGTCAAACAATAAATACAGACAATAAAGACAGACAGTAAATACAGAGAATAAAGACAGACAGTAAATACAGACAATAAAGACAGACAGTAAATACAGACAATAAAGACAGACAGTAAATACAGTCAATAAAGACAGACAGTAAATACAGACAATAAAGACAGACAGTAAATACAGACAATAAAGACATACAGTAAATACAGTCAATAAAGTCAAACAATAAATACAGACAATAAAGACAGACAGTAAATACAGACAATAAAGACAGACAGTAACTACAGTCAATAAAGACAGACAGTAAATACAGACAATAAAGACAGACAGTAAATACAGACAATAAAGTCAGACAGTAAATACAGTCAATAAAGACAGACAGTAAATACAGACAATAAAGACATACAGTAAATACAGTCAATAAAGACATACAGTAAATACAGACAATAAAGACAAACAATAAATACAGACAATAAAGACAGGCAGTAAATACAGTCAATAAAGACAAACAATAAATACTGACAATAAAGACAGACTGTAAACACAGACGATAAAGACAGATTGTAAATATAGACGATAAAGACAGTATTATTATGTCTGTCCTTGCTCATCCTAGGATATGGACACCTTACATTCTTGTTCAATCTTTCCTCTTCTATCTCGACGTGTGATTCCTCAAGTCTAGCTGCTTAAATTTAAAAGAGTCTAAAAAAGCAGAGAGACGGGTTAGTTAAACAGAGTGTTTAGGGAGCTGGAAAATAAAACAGTTTAGTGGTAAACAGAAATAGAGTTGAAAACAGAAACTTCAAAGTTCAACAGTGAAGCTTCAGTGTTAAACAGAGAAGCTTTAATGTTAAACAGAGAAGCTTGAAGGTTAAACAGAGAAGCCGCTGAATTAAACAGATAAGTTTGAAGCTTAAGCAGAGAATCTTAAGAGTTAAACAGAGACGCTTCAATGTTAAACAGAAAACATTTAAACGTAAACAGAGAAGTTTCAAGGTTTAAGAGAGAACATTTAAGTTTAAACAGAGATTATACAAGATTAAACAGAGACGCTGCTGGGTTAAACCGAGAATCTAGAGAATTAAACCAAAACCTATCATGGGTTGCGGATCCCGTCTTCATCAACCCCCATAACAATCGAATCCCAGCTCCCACTGCAGTGGGACAGTATGCCAAAATTGTACTATCAGAACATACCCATACAGAAATAAACCGGAATGCATGAATGACAAATTCCTCATGTAGAAACGTGCAACCGCTTGTTATTTCTTGCACGCCTTGTCATCTGCCTCTGTCTCTCAATGACTAGTTTCGGTAGCGAGTTTGTGTTTAGACAAGTTTGGTTGATTCCATCGCGCCGCCAGGACGTCTGTCTGTGTTATTGCTCGTTTGTTTGTGTTTGTCTGTTTGTTGACCACTTATTACGAAGCGAATATCCTCCAACTACAAGTGACCCACACAACATTGTGATGATTAGCCTCGTGGATCATTTCATCCCTCTGAAATTCTCATATGAAATTCCTCTTTCATTAAACCGAATAACTCCATGTCTGTCAGCCAGTTTGCAGCTCACACCCTTTATTTAAACATCGCTCAAAACGGCCATGATTGATGGCTCTTTGATCTGCACTCACTCTTCTCGCAAGGGCCCTTTTCCCTTCCTTCTCAGTCATTGGAAGCTACATTCGGTCAAAAGGCAGGGACAGAACCCCCCCGCAGCACATTTCTGCGTCACGTCTGTGGTCCAACAACTACTCATGCATGGCCTCCTGGGCTCATCTCACTGGATGTTCCGGCCACGTCATCCAAGCATCGATTACCCTACTCTAGATACCTATGTAAGATACATGCATTCTTCTTCTTCTTCTATTTCTTCTTCTTCTTCTTTTTCTTCTTCTTCTTCTTCTTCTTCTTCTTCTTCTTCTTCTTCTTCTTCTTCTTCTTCTTCTTCTTCTTCTTCTTCTTCTTCTTCTTCTTCTTCTTCTGCTTCATTCTTCTTCTTCTTCTTCTTCTTCTTCTTCTTCTTCTTCTTCTTCTTCTTCTTCTTCTTCTTCTTCTTCTTCTTCTTCTTCTTCTTCTTCTTCTTCTTCTTCTTCTTCTTCTTCTTCTTCTAATTCTGCTTCCTTTTTCACCGCTTCTAGTGTCAGGTTCTACTTTTTTGCTGTTCTAGCGGCTCTTTGATTTGATCTCTACTGGTCACTCCTGTAGCATTTCTCAGACATCTTGTTTCCATGGTTACTAATCTCCTTTTTTCCGGATTTTTGTGAGTGACTATATCTGGTACTGCGTTGGAATGAATATGCTTTGTATGAGATGTTTCTGTGTGTTGACTGAGATTGTCTTGTATGAGATGTTTCTGTGTGTTGACTGAGATTGTCTTGTATGAGATGTTTCTGTGTGTTGACTGAGATTGTCTTGTATGAGATGTTTCTTTGTGTTGACTGAGATTGTCTTGTATGAGATGTTTCTTTGTGTTGACTGAGATTTTCTTGTATGAAACATTTCTTCTTTGTTATGTGTATCTTCTTTGTTTTTGTGTATCTTCTTTGTTTTTGTGTATCTTTTTTGTGTATCTTCTTTGTTTTTGTGTAACTTCTTTTTCTGTGTATATTCTTTGTTTTTGTGTATCTTCTTTTTTGTGTGTATCTTCTTTGTTTTTGTGTATCTTCTTTGTTTTTTGTGTATCTTCTTTTTCTGTGTATATTCTTCTTTTTGTGTGTATCTTCTTTGTTTTTGTGTATCTTATTTTTGTGTGTATCTTCTTTGTTTTTGTGTATCTTCTTTGTTTTTGTGTATCTTCAAGAAGACACGGTACCGACACTACGTTTACAAGAAGACACGGTCCTAGCACTACGTTTACAAGAAGACACGGTCCTGGTACTACGTTTACAGAAAGACACGGTCCAGACACTACGTTTACAAGAAGACACGGTCCGGACACTACGTTTACAGAAAGACACGGTCCAGACACTACGTTTACAAGAAGACACGGTCCGGACACTACGTTTACAGAAAGACACGGTCCTGGCACTACGTTTACAGAAATACACGGTCGTGACACTACGTTTACCAGAAGACACGGTCCTGGCACTAAGTTTACAGAAAGATACGGTCCGGACACTACGTTTACAGAAAGACACGGTCCGGACACTACGTTTACAGAAAGACACGGTCGTGACACTACGTTTACCAGAAGACACGGTCCTGGCACTAAGTTTACAGAAAGATACGGCCCTGACACTACGTTTACAGAAAGACACGGTCCTGGAACTATGTTTACAGAAAGACACGGTCCTGGCACTACGTTTACAGAAATACACGGTCGTGACACTACGTTTACAGGAAGACACGGTCCTGGCACTACGTTTACAGGAAGACACGGTCCTGGCACTACGTTTACAAGTAGACACGGTCCTGACACTACGTTTCCAAGACGACAGTGGCTGTGAATACATCTGTAAAAAAAACACGGACTTGGGACTACATCCACAAGAAGACACCGTGATTTCGGTACTACCTCTTGTATCTCATTTGGACATTACAGATAGCTTTTCACACCAGGCAAGGACCAGCTGCAGGTGTCAGGCCACACTTTGGCAGGTTACAAATGGGGTCGCCCCGGCCACTGCCAGCTTGTAGCTCTTGTGTTCTCTCACTGTTGTCTTCAGTCTATCGCATTGTAGCACTCGTGTTCTCTCACTGTTGTCTTCAGTCCATCGCACTCTAGCACTCGTCTTCTCTCACAGTTGTCTTCAGTCTATTGCATTGTTGCACTAGTGTTCTCTCACTGTTGTCTTCCGTCCATCGGATTGTAGCCCTCGTGTTCTCTCACTGTTGTCTTCAGTCCATCGCACTCTAGTACTCGTCTTCTCTCACAGTTGTCTTCAGTCTGTTGCATTGTTGCACTAGTGTTCTCTCACTGTTGTCTTCCGTCCATCGGATTGTAGCACTCGTCTTCTCTCACTGTTGTCTTCAGTCCATCGCATTGTAGCCCTTGTGTTCTCTCACTGTTGTCTTCAGTCCATCGGATTGTTGCACTAGTGTTCTCTCACTGTTGTCTTCAGTCCATCGCATTGTAGCCCTCGTGTTCTCTCACTGTTGTCTTCAGTCCATCGGATTGTTGCACTAGTGTTCTCTCACTGTTGTCTTCAGTCCATCGCATTGTAGCCCTCGTGTTCTCTCACTGTTGTCTTCAGTCCATCGCACTCTAGCACTCGACTTCTCTCACTGTTGTCTTCAGTCCATGGCATTGTTGCACTAGTGTTCTCTCACTGTTGTCTTCAGTCAATCGCATTGTAGCACTCGTGTTCTCTGACTGTTGTCTTCAGTCCATGGCATTGTTGCACTCGTGTTCTCTCACTGTTGTCTTCAGTCGATCGCATTGTAGCACTCGTCTTCTCTCACTGTTGTCTTCAGTCCATGGCATTGTTGCACTCGTGTTCTCTCACTGTTGTCTTCAGTCGATCGCATTGTAGCACTCGTCTTCTCTCACTGTTGTCTTCAGTCCATGGCATTGTTGCACTAGTGTTCTCTCACTGTTGTCTTCAGTCCATGGCATTGTTGCACTAGTGTTCTCTCACTGTTGTCTTCAGTCCATGGCATTGTAGCACTCGTGTTCTCTCACTGTTGTCTTCAGTCCATGGCATTGTTGCACTAGTGTTCTCTCACTGTTGTCTTCAGTCCATCGCATTGTAGCACTCGTGTTCTCTCACTGTTGTCTTCAGTCCATGGCATTGTTGCACTCGTGTTCTCTCACTGTTGTCTTCAGTCCATGGCATTGTTGCACTAGTGTTCTCTCACTGTTGTCTTCAGTCTATCGCATTGTAGCACTCGTGTTCTCTCACTGTTGTCTTCAGTCCATCGCATTGCAGCACTCGTGTTCTCTCACTGTTGTCTTCAGTCTATCGCATTGTAGCACTCGTGTTCTCTCACTGTTGTCTTCAGACCATCGCATTGTTACGCTAGTATTGGTGGCGTCATTCATTCATTCATTCATTCATTTATTTCGTAAATCATTCTCAGGCGGCCCCTTCTACTATGAAGTGCAGCAATACCCAAATGACTTGTTTGCTCCTTTGCCAGTTAAGCTTGGGTAGTAGAATGTCTTTCTTTCATTGATTGTTTTGGAGATTATAATATACCGATAGACGCATGTGTTTCAAGATTACTACTCTACTGCTGATGTTGTCGTTTTTTGTTTTCACTGTTGTTCTTTTTTTTTTCCTCTTCTTCTTCTTCTTCTTCTTCTTCTTCTTCTTCTTCTCTTCTTCTTCTTCTTCTTCTTCTTCTTCTTCTTCTTCTTCTTCTTCTTCTTTCTTCTTCTTCTTCTTCTTCTTCTTCTTCTTCTTCTTCTTCTTCTTCTTCTTCTTCTTCTTCTTCTTCTTCTTCTTCTTCTTCTTCTTCTTCTTCTTCTTCTTCTTCTTGTACTGTTGCTGCTGGTAGTGCTGCTGCTACTACTACTACTGCTGTTGCTGCTGGTAGTGCTGCTGCTACTACTACTACTGCTGCTGCTGCTGGTAGTGCTGCTGCTACTACTACTACTGCTGCTGCTGCTGGTAGTGCTGCTACTACTACTACTACTACTGCTGCTGGTAGTGCTGCTGCTGCTACTACTACTGCTGCTGCTGCTGGTAGTGCTGCTACTACTACTACTACTACTGCTGCTGGTAGTGCTGCTGCTGCTACTACTACTGCTGCTGCTGCTGGTAGTGCTGCTACTACTACTACTACTACTACTACTACTACTACTACTACTACTACTACTACTACTACTACTACTACTACTACTACTACCATTACCACTACTTTTACGACTGCTACTTTGCTTCTGCTGTTGTTATGACACTACATTTGTTGTAGTAGTTATTCTTGCTGCTGTAGTTGTTTATCCTCCTCCTCTTCTTCTTCTTCTTACTCTTCTTCTTCTTCCTCCTACAACTCCAGACGTCAGCTCTAATGTATTTACAGAAAGCAAGCAGTAGAAAAGCCTACCCAGGTGACATCTCCAAAATTTGTCCTTAAAAAAGACCTGTTGTAGGCCTGAATATTTGTCTGTCTTCTACACATGTTCGCATCTGTTGGCGGCTTCTCCCGTGGGAGGTTATGCCTAGTCCCGGTACAGTCAGTGACAGACCTGATGTCATGCAGATGTCCTGAGGTCAGTTCAGAGTTTCTTGCCTTGTAAGAATTAATTAGCTTTGAGTGATTGGGCACACTGTCCCACCAGGTGAGGGTGACCTGGTTTAGGGAGCCGGTGACAGTTGAGCCGTGCTGAATCTATCATCATTTCATGGTTGGCACAACTCCTCTCGCATACACAGCTAACTACACGCAACTACACACAACCACAGACACACAGCCACAGACACACAACTACGGACTTACAGCTACGCCGAGGTTGCCGTCTGAGTAAATAATCTATCTGCTCAGTTGGTCGAGTTCAGACGATGCCCTGGTAAAAATGTCTTGCTGTGTTAAGTGATCACATTCGAGGACAATTTGTTATTTCAAAATCATTTGAACTGGATTTGAACTCTGGCTAAAGAAGTTTTTTCGGTTTCTTTTGGCCAGAAATATTGTAGGTGAGTCCGAGTTGAGCTGCATTATAGTAGTATTTAACCCGTTTTCATTTTCCACCTTCGCCCTAACGTAATGCGGTTTGCAGTGTGTCAGTTTACGGAGAAGCTGCGATATTTTGACATATTTGTTTTTTTTTTTTAAAACCAGGTATTTTGGATTTTGTCAGTTCTGTGCACTATCTCCCCCAGCTTTCAATCTTCTACTTCCCTCGAAGTCGTAGTGCATCTGTCCCTGAGGTAGGGAACGGTAAAAGCCAGTAAAACCGTTGGGCACGCAAAACCCAGGTCCAGGTAAAAACTAAAGTCCAAGCGGACGATTAACCGGGAGCCGGTGAACGAAGAAGAGGAAGAAGAATCTTCTGCTGACGTCACAGATCTGGGCTTAATTGACCTTCACTTGTCGAGGCTTTCAAGCCACTAGGAAGTGCTTGAGAATTGGGGTGGGGGGGGGGGGGTAGGGGGCGGGGTAAACAACTTGATCCATTTCCTCGCGCTGGTTTTTAATATCAGTACGACGTGTTTTTTTTTTAAATACGAGTATGACAGTCGTTAGCGTTAGCGAAGTCGATAAGAGGCTCGCTTTCAAATCCACCTGCGACTCGCTGCACCCCACGGTCGGTGTTCTAAACCGGGTGGCTCCCGGGGTTCACCCAGCCTCTGGGGTAAATAGAGGAACGTCGCTGTAGCTACAGAGTTACGTGCGAACGGCGACTCAGGCGGACAGTTCTTATCAGCTGTCCGTACTGGTGGCCGAGCACTTATGGTTTATAACCGTGTGCAATGGTTCACATCTCCCGACTTTACCTTAATCCTTTAGTATCTGCCCAAAGATCTGCTACATTGTGCGACGTTCTCAGTCGTCGAATATCTGCTCACATGAGTATGAATCTGGAGCGAATGGTACGGCCGCGAAGGACAAGGGGATCCGGTCGACACTCTTAAACTCAAGGGAGAAAGAGATAAGGGCACATAACCAGACTAAAAGCAAGGGCATATAATCTGCTATTGGTGACATCGGAATGGGAACGCTTTGCTAACCGCTGGAGATGAGGACGGAGCATGTATGAGAGCATATATGCTCCGAGTGTTGTGATATCGGTTGTGATGTAGAGAAACTGCTCTGTCTGGGATTCGATTCTGGGACAATGAAGTCGATCCTCTCTACTATAACTCCCCATTTATTTGATCACACATATACAGGCCTGTTGTGCACTTGGCAACGTCTGCATGTGTACGGTCTGGCTCTAACAACGAAGGCTGACACTGTTCTTTAAATTTAGTGCCTTCTATAGTGATTTGTCTGCTTGTAGACACAGACTAGGGTCAAGGTTTGTCCGCTTGTAGACACAGACTGGGTTCAGGTTTGTCTCCTTGTAGACACAGACTGGGGTCAAGGTTTGTCCGCTTGTAGACACAGACTGTGGTCAGGTTTGTCCGCTTGTAGACACAGACTGGGGTCAGGTTTGTCCGCTTGTAGATACAGACTGGGGTCAGGTTTGTCGGCTTGTAGACACAGACTGGGGTCAGGTTTTTCTGCTTGTAGACACAGACTGGGGTCAGGTTTGTCTGCTTGTAGACACAGACTGGGTTCAGGTTTGTCTGCTTGTAGACACAGACAGGGGTCAGGTTTGTCCGCTTGTAGACACAGACTGGGGTCAGGTTTGTCCGCTTGTAGATACAGACTGGGGTCAGGGGTTTGTCGGCTTGTAGACACAGACTGGGGTCAGGTTTTTCTGCTTGTAGACACAGACTGGGGTCAGGTTTGTCTGCTTGTAGACACAGACTGGGGTCAGGGTTTTCTGCCTGTAGACACAGACTGGGGTCAAGGTAAGTTGATCGTTTTCTTGATTTCCTTCTACAGAAGAGGATCTGACGCATTCTTCCCTTGCCAACTCCCCAAACAGTCACAGTCCGGACACAGCAGGAAGCGCCAATGCTGCCAAAAAACCAACAAGAAAACGAGGTCAGTAGTCCAACAACAGTTGTTAGTTTGTTGTTAGGTTAAAAGTTGCATCAAACTGTAGATCGCCTTGCTTTTATACAATACTAGCTGATATGTTTGCTCTTTCTGTCCGAGAAGATGCACATGCAAAAAATATACCATAAAACTTTTTTCTTCCTCTTCTTCTTCTTCTTCTTCTTCTTCTTCTTCTTCTTCTTCTTCTTCTTCTTCTTCTTCTTCTTCTTCTTCTTCTTCTTCTTCTTCTTCTTCTTTTTTTTCTTCTTCTATATCTTCTTCTTCCTCTTCTTTTTTTTTCTTCTTCTTCATCTTCTTCTTCTTCTTCTTCTTTTTTCTTCTTTTTTTTTCTTCTTGTATATCTTCTTCTTCTTCTTCTTCTTCTTCTTCTTCTTCTTCTTCTTCTTCTTCTTCTTCTTCTTCTTCTTCTTCTTCTTCTTCTTCTTCTTCTTCTTCTTATTCTTCTTTTTGTTCTTCTTCTTCTTCCGCTGTAACTATGGCAAAAGGTTCTGGTTTTTCGTCCACCTCTAGACGTTGGTCTTGTTCCAGTACATTAGTGTTGCGCGCACGTCCGTTTTACAGAGCAGACTTATTTGTTTGCAGATTGTTGGTTCCTTGCCTCTCAGTCAAACGCACTCTGACTTCGAAGGAATCCCCATAAGAACGGATGTCAACTAGGTGGAAAGTGGCCACTGGGAAGTCACATTATCAAGTATGTGCTAGCCACATGTTTAAAGAAAGAAAACTTATAAGCCACTGGCCGAGATTCACAGGTAACTGTCTGTAGAAGGACAGAAAACGAATACTAACGTCTAATCCTAAATCTGGCCAATGCCACGAACGTTAGATACTATCATTCTCGTATCGTTTTTGTACCTAACAGCTTGCTATAGTTATATTCTCAGTATCTGTGCACCAGTTATCTCTCTTCAACTATTTTCAAAATTATTCGTTCCCGTATTCTAATCTACGCCTATTTTCACAATTATTGTCTGCTCAACCAAACAATACAAAGTGAAGGACTAATTAGACTATCGAGGCCGTATCTCACACACGCTGAAACAAACATGCGAGTCCACAAACATACACGTGGTGATTCTCAATCAGGAACAAACAAAATGGTTCCGTTTGTAGCCACTTGGGTCTCCCAGTGATCGCTTTAATTAATTCCTATTTATCTTTCGTCTGATGAACACAGGCACAGATTTCATGCAAATTTCGTGCGGGCTTAGTTTTAAAATCTAAACTGACATTTTATTTATCTCTTACTGATTGCACTTTATCACTTGTAAACATAAAGCAGCTGGCTTCCTTTGAACTCCCCGGGTAATTTATTATGTACATTTATAATTATTGTTTAAATTTAGTGGCTGCTGAAAATTCGAGAATGTTCAAATTCTAAACTTTACTGTGGAGATGGCTGATTTACTTCCAGCAAGTTTGTCCTGTTTAGCTGGGTCTCTTTCCTTAAACTTCTACCGTTGCCGCCAGCATCGCACACAGCACGAACACCGTAGCGACGATTTTCAGGAATCTCAGCCCAAAAGAACAAAAACGAAAAGACGCAGTTCCTGTCACGCACCTAACACCTTCAGAAAGCTAGGCAAATGGCTTAACCACTGCGCCAAGCAGACCACTAGTTCATATCAACTGCGTGTAAGCAATTACTGCCCCCCCCCCCCCCCCCACCTTGAATTCGCAGACAGTACACGTATTTATGACCGTTGACAATTTCATGTTATATGAAACCTATTTAGGATTGTAATGTTTATTTCTTCATGTTTTTGATTTCTTTTTAAACTCTGTGCGACAGACAGACCGACCACCGACCGACCGACCGACAGACAGACTGACAGACAGACTGACTGACATACCTATTGAGAGATTGGTGGACGGACGAAAAGATGGATGTATGGATGAATGGATGGACGTGTGTGTGGATGGATTGATGGATGGATGTATGGATGAATGGATGGATGGATGGATGTATGGATGAATGGATGGATGGATAGATGTGTGGGTGAATGGATGGATGGATGATTGATGTGTGGGTGAATGGATGGATGGATGGATGGATGGATGGATGGATGTATGGATGTATGGATGAATGAATGGATGGATAGATGTATGGATGGATGGATGGATGGATAGATGTGTGGATAATTGGGTGTGGAGTGAACTCAAATGAAAATGAGGGGGAGTGAGAGGAAACGAATGTGCAAACTTTTTTTTTTCAAAGGGTCACAATTTGGACACGCAAACCCATCTGACTTTCAACTCTTTCAGATACTCGTCTTTCACACCACATTTTTTGTTCTATCAATCATGCTATGTCTGTATAGCAATATACATAATAAGAATATTAAGTAAGATGAGAGGTGGAAGAAGTATCATTCTTAGGCCGCTTCTTCTGAACAAACAAAAATCAATCCAACGGCAGTCGACATCTGTGAACTTCGAAAATTAGTCAACAATTTCGAATGCAGAAGTTCGGAACTATTTCCGCCCTTTCAAATAAAATAAACAAAAGAGGCGGAAAATGAAAACGTATGCTCCCTGTTGCAACAAACTCGACCTGCTCCAGAGAGTTGACGTAACAAACATGGTTGCCTCGAGTTTCCTCCGCACTAGGCTTGTCTTACCCGAGCTCTGGCTGGCGCTAAGGTTTCCTTTCACAACATGGCCAGGATCTGACTTGTCTGCTGCAAAACTCCACTCAGGGTTGTCCGTACAGTTTCAGCAGTTCAGTATCAAAGGTTCCCAAACAAGCCTATGTGATGATACGTATGGGCAAAAATGTCAAGGCAATCAGTTACTTTATTTCTAACAAAATACATTTGGTAACAGTCGGCATAGAACCACTGTTTAATGCTCGGGATACGAGAAAAGAAAGAAAAGAAACAAAGAGAGGAAGGGAAAGGAAAAGAGAAATGATGTGCTCACTTATAGAGAATGCTGTGTGATACACACCAGGCTTAAACTAAATGAGGAAGCCCAGGTTAATACAAAGCAAGGGACACAGATAATATGAGAGAACCCCCCCCCCCCCCCGTGTGGGTTCCGGGGCCCTATTATAGGTAAAACAAGAATAGACCCACTGTCTACCCATGCATGTCGTGAGAGTCGACTAAGTGGGAGCTTCCTTCGAAGTCGGAGTGCATCTGCCTGCGAGGAAAGGAACCAGCAGTCTGCACACACGTGTGTCAGATTTGTCGAACGGATGCACACGCAACACTCCGGTTCTGGAGCAGGACTGCAGTCCAGAAGTGGACGAACAACCAGAACTTTCCACCAGAGTTTACAGCTGGTGGAGATTTGAGAGAACTTCTACAGCCGTATGTATGGTCCAGGTGGTCCGATGAGAGAGGAGCTTCTGCGTTGGACATCAGCCATGCTAGTCCCGTCTGGGTTAGGACTGTGCGTCTAAGATCACCGAATGGTCTTCCACAGCTTGTGTAGCTTAGCGGGGGCCAGAACCCTGGACTTCCCTTTCACAGCCTGCGGTAAACATCCCTCTGTCGTTCCATGAGTCATGCGTTCAAATCCCAGCTGGGTCAGGGATTTTGTTGCAATGACGACTGGCGTGTTGTTGGTTCTATCAGTCATAGAGTGGCGGACTACCTTCAAATAGGAGATCAACACCCTACACCCTAAAAGAGTCATGAAGTGACAAGGGCATTTTACTGTCACGTAACGTAACAGTGATTCTGTCTTCAATGTCATGTTGAATGTTTCCTGACCACAAGGAGCTAAGGAAGTACTCGCCATTAAAACCAGAAAGGGTACCAGGGTTCAAGAGCGATATAGTTAGTACAGAGTGTGGGTCAGTGGAATCTTGCAACTAGTCTGATGTTACCTCTGCCAGAACTGGACAAATACAGCAAGACAAGAACTGGGGGGTTTAACAAAAATGACGTAATAGATGAGACAGGAATAGAAGGGAGGCTGCAATAAAAGAAGACAGAACAGCGGCTAAAGGTTTCTTATTTTGAGAATCACTGATCTCACCCTTGTAGAAACTGTATTGCTTCGCCATTTGGAACTAGTGAACGTAACGGAAGCATATTTGTTCCTACTAGCATTTAGGTTTTAGCTCGTCCTCTATATGTTTGTTTTCAGAAAGCCACCTGTGGTGGCTAACAGTGTCTATTCTCACACTGGAACCTCTGGCAAAACCGACGCAATTGTAGACAAGATTTGACATAAGTAAAATCTGACATATTGTGATTATGTGCATAAACTTGTGTTCCTGGTGGACACATGATCCTGAAAGGTGGTGTTCTTGTACCTGGCCTGTGCACAAATACGTAACCTGAGCAGGTACGTGCAAGCGGCGGAAGTCGGAGATACTGTACCAGGGTAGCCAGGTGCCTGGGTGCATGCTCGATTCATATGCCAAAACTGCAAGAGCCAGTTTGTCCCTGTCTTGTGTATCTAAGTCGCTAGAAAGTACCTGGCTGGCTAAGTGAAGTCTGGCCAGTTGTACTGCATAAAGAAATAGGGATCACGGGAATGTTCCTGGGTCCATAAAATCTCAAATATACCAGATACCCGTGGGTATTGATTGGCACCGGTAGATGAGTCTAGAGGTTGGTGTGCTAGAAATCAGCAGCAGACACCAACTGACATGAGCCTTATACACCTTGAAAGTCTCAAACTGATGAGAGAAATTAGGTTCATGCGTCAGTATCTGTTGGACATTTGAGTGGAACGGCGTTCGAGAAAGTCCTGGCAAGTGTTGCATCTGTGGCGACACGAGGAAGGCGAACGCAAAGAGGTAAATATCTTCATGGATTGAACACAAGCTGGCAGCTAGGAAACAAGTCCTCGTACAAAAAAGACAGATTTGAAAAACGGATGTACATGCCAAACTCAAGCAGTGGAACAAGAACAAGTACAGAAGAGGACGAACAACAAACATTTGTTTCAGTGTGGTTCGCCTAAACGGTTCAATGGCTGTTGCCTACAGCAGAGATGCAAAGCTGCAATGTGTACGTCTGTAGGCTTACATATGGGAAGATGCATTTCTTAAGCCCTGGGTGAATGATGTCTGAAACCGTAGTTTGCCTGCCGGACTGCCTTGATGTACTTGCTGTACAGGGCACCCTCATGGACGAGAGAGAGAGGTCCTTGATCAACCCTGACTAGCCCGCCCTCACACACACAACTGTACAGGGCCCCATCATAGATGAGAAATAGGTCCTTGTTCAACCCTCACTAGCCCGCCCTCACACACACAACTGTACAGGGCCCCCTCATAGATGAGAAATAGGTCCTTGTTCAACCCTGACTAGCCCGCCGTCACACACACAACTGTACAGAGCCCCTTCATAGATAAGAGATAGGTCCTTGTTCAACCCTGACTAGCCAGCCCCCACATACACAGGCAAGCTAGATGAAGTTGCTTGTA